AAGGGTTTTCAAATTTTTACCTCCCTTTCATTTTCCAAAATTTTCCCTTCCCCGAATTGGGACCAAAACCCGGCCCCTAACTAAAAGGCCAAAAAAAGGATTTAAATTTTAAAAAACCGAGGGTTTTCCCCAAGGGCATTATTTTATTCAACATTTCCTTTTTCCCTGGTTTTTAAAAATTCTAACCAAACTCCAATTTTTTTAAAACCGTAAATTAAATCACTAATTTTTTTTTTCAGGTTTTTCCCCAAATTTAAACTTTTCATTTTCATATTAAAAAAAAAAAAAAAAAAAAAAAAAAAAAAAAAAAAAAAAAAAAAAAAAAAAAAAAAAAAAAAAAAAAAAAAAAAAAAAAAAAAAAAAAAAAAAAAAAAAAAAAAAAAAAAAAAAAAAAAAAAAAAAAAAAAAAAAAAAAAAAAAAAAAAAAAAAAAAAAAAAAAAAAAAAAAAAAAAAAAAAAAAAAAAAAAAAAAAAAAAAAAAAAAAAAAAAAAAAAAAAAAAAAAAAAAAAAAAAAAAAAAAAAAAAAAAAAAAAAAAAAAAAAAAAAAAAAAAAAAAAAAAAAAACCCCCCCCCCCCCCCCCCCCCCCCCCCCCCCCCCCCCCCCCCCCCCCCCCCCCCCCCCCCCCCCCCCCCCCCCCCCCCCCCCCCCCCCCCCCCCCCCCCCCCCCCCCCCCCCCCCCCCCCCCCCCCCCCCCCCCCCCCCCCCCCCCCCCCCCCCCCCCCCCCCCCCCCCCCCCCCCCCCCCCCCCCCCCCCCCCCCCCCCCCCCCCCCCCCCCCCCCCCCCCCCCCCCCCCCCCCCCCCCCCCCCCCCCCCCCCCCCCGGCAAGAACCAAAGTCAAGGGTTTTTTCCCCCTAGTTGGCTTTCACAAACTGTTTTTAAAAAACAACCTGGATCGTACCAAGAAATCACCCACCCTAAATTTCCGTAAATTCCTCCCCATTGTCTATATTAAAACCCCATTTACAAAACATTTTCATGTGATCCAGAATTTTTTCCCCTAGAAAATTACTCACTCCCCCCCCCCCCCCCCCCCCCCCCCCCCCCCCCCCCCC